TGCCCACGCGTGCTCACACGGTATGTGGCGCTCTTCCCCGTCCCCACCACGGCCACAAAAATGGCATCACCTCAACTCTGCACCTGCAACACCAGGCTCCGCACCTCGCCAGCCTGAATGTCATCGCCAGCTCTTCCTGGCTCCCCAGCTGTGGCCACAGCTGGCTTATTTCTGCCAGGCCAGCCTGGCCTTGCGCTGGTCAAGGCTTCTACTGAACAGCACCTGCTGGAGGCAGACACCTGGGGCCTCTCCTCCTGGTGCGGAGGGGGAAAGCTCTTTAGATTTGCACCTGGCCTTCCACACATCTCCGGCCAGCCCACACCTGCCACTTCCAAGTCGCACCCCCACCCCCTGAAGTCCCGTCTAACTCCTACTCTTACCAGATGTCCATTCCCACCTTCCCTTTTCTCCTTACCTCTGTCTACTATCTTGTCTCTAGCACCCCCAAATATCCTTGCCTAAATCCAGACCTGAACTGCTGCTTTTTTTCTGGGTGGGGACACTGGGTATTGAATCCAGGGCTTTCCTACAGAGCTACAGCCCCAGCCCTTTTTATTTATTTTCTCTTTTTGATCTTGCTACGTTTTATTTTTTTAATCTCGCTAAGTTGTCCAGACTGGGCTCTAAATTGCTATTGTCCTGCCTCAGCCTTCCGGAATGCTAGGATTACAGGCTCACACTACCGCGCCTGGCCGTGAACCGCTGGATTTAAGGGAGCCCTTTGCACTGCTGTTTGTTAACCAACCTCTCCCCTTCCAAGAATTGGTACCTTTGGAGCGCTTCCCTTGGCCTGGGCGCGAGCGCCGCCTTCTCTGGCTGCTCCCTTCTGCCCTCTCGTGGTAAAAGCGGTCAAAAGCGTGTCCCAACCCATCTGCCCTTCACCCGGCTCTTTCTAAATCTGCACAGCTGCCCAGCACTCCTCTCACTGCCCCGCTCAGCCTTCTGTGCATCTAGGTCGGTGTCCTCTCCCTGATTCTCTCTGTCCCCATCCAACTCTTCCCTGGAACCCCCAGACTCTTAGCTCCTTTTCCTGCCTCTCTATTCCCCCTCTGCTCAGCCTCCCACACAGGCCCACTGTGCAGTAGGGAGAGAGGCCTTGTAAATGAAATGTACTGAAAATGTTCCCCCAGATGGGCCTCTGTTTACCTCTGCGGTACTTTTCCGAGCCTGCCCTTCCAACTTTGCAGGACATTGCTGCTTTCTCAAGGCCGCTTCCCTCCGACCCAACTCACCTGCCGGCGAGGTCAGGCCCTCAGCCCGGCACCAGCCTCTCTCCTGGTTCCAACCGGGACGTCCTCTAGGGGACTGGAACTCCTGGTATTTCTGGATACAGCTCCCAACTCTGGATCGTGTATGCTGTTTGGACTTTGAGAGCCTGCTATTTAAATCCAAATAGTAACCTCTGTGTTTGAACAGTGCTATCTCCCAGCTGGATCCCACACTAACGTCAGAGGAAGGAAACACACTCAAAATCTTCCAAGTGACTTCTTCTAAGTCACTCGGGTGTTAGGAGGCTGGCAAGGGCTAGAACCCAGGCATGCCAAGCCCAGAGCATGCCCAGAACCTCCCTCCCTGTGCTGCTGTTAGCTTGAACTTCTTGTTGGACAATGGACGGTTGCTAGGGAAATGTTGACCCTAGCAACAGGATTCGCTGGGCATGGAATCCAAGAGGAGGGCGCCAGGAAGGTGGGCAGAAGAGGGCGCCAGGAAGGTGGGAGAATGGTGGGCAAAGGGGACAGTTTCCCCCTTCATCATTTTCCCCAGCTCCGACTTTGGGGCCACCTTCCTGGTCATTTCTACCATGGCCGTATCACGATAAAAGGGACCTTGTGCCTGCGCACTGTGCGGTTCACTTCTCAGTGGGAAGGGATAAGACACATTCTCTTCCCCCTTCCCCAGCAGCCTGTATTAAAGAGGATCTCCAAGCCCCGTGGCAATGGGGCTAATGACTTCCTGGAGGGGGGTGGGGAGGGCTGCTGGCCGTTGGGCGCCCCCCATCTCCACGAAACAGAGGAAAGAAGCAGCCGCTCAGAAGCGAGGCGCGCAGCAGTGCGGCGCCCACCATCCCCGGGCCTCGTCAACTCCTTCCCAAATTCTGTGGGTTCGTCTCCCAAGTTCACCCTAGCATCCAGGACCAGCCTCCATCTGCCCCAGGACCCAAGCGCCTAACTCGCTTTCTAGTAGCGCTCTCTCTCCCCATTTCCGGGTGGGCAAAGTGGAGCGAAGGGGAGGAGGTGAAAGGAGCCCCGGCGCCGCCCCCGCGAGAGCCGAGCTCAGAAGCGGCGGAGACTTCGATCCCGAAAAGTAACGCACGGGGGCGCCAGGAGGAGCGCGGACGCGGGAGAGGCAGCGAAAGGTGGTTCCGTCCGTGTGAGTGTGTCCGTGGGCGTCTTTGTGTGTGTGCGTTTCTGTACATGTGTGTATGAGTCTGGGGGTGTCTGGGTGGGATCCATCCGGGACAACATGCCTGGTGTGCCCCAGAAACAGGTTCCCCAAAAGGCTTTTTGATGAGAATGATGCTTGATGTGTAACTCTGTACATGTGGCTGGGAGGCAGGAGACCTGTGTGTATTGTCGAGTGTGTATGGTGCAGATCGAGAGTCCCTGAAACCGCATCTTGGGTTTTTGAAGTCGAAATTCTAGAGGGTTTTGATCGCTTTCTCATCACCCCGAAAGAGTAAGGGGGACTCTCAGTCAGATCCCAACTGCCCTAGCACATCCTCTGCCTGAGTCAGGTGGCTGTGCTAGGCTATGTGTGACATTGTGTTTGTTAAGTGGGTGTGTCTCAGAATCTTAGTGTAACTCTGTATGGTAGTGCATTGTGTGAGTGTGTGTGTGTGTGTGTGTGTGTGCGCTGACAGGTGGGCTTTGGAAGGGGCTGGATCAGGATTATGGAAGTGCACAATTCTTTCCCCTTCTTAGTCTGAATACCACCTTCCTGGTCTGTGTGTGTGTGCGCGCGCTCATCTGCCTTTCTCAGTCTCTCCAGTACCTGTCTCTCTGTCTCTCCTCGTCTCTGTCTCTCTTTCCTTTTCTTGGTGACTCATCTCTGCGGCTTTGCCCTCCCCCGGCTTGCTGGGTCTCCCCTCCCCCACTCAGGAGTTGGGAGGGTCTGAGGGAATGGGACCCTAGGACTAAAATCAGGGTGAGCACCCCCTTCTCATCACTCATCACCCAGGACCCTCCAATGCCCCCCAGTCCCTTTCCCAGGACATGCCATCCCTGGGTGGCTAGGGAGTAGGGCAATCATGTGTTCTTAATGGAGCTATTTTCAGGAGGTCTTCAGTACCTGCTTTCAGTTCCAAGTAGAGACCCCTACCCTCCTCATAAATCACCCCTTCCCTGCCTGTCCCCACCATGGCTGACGCAATGAAAGGCTGCAGAGGTGAGTCACCACCGGCTGGGGGAGGGGGGGTGAAGAAGGGGACAGTGAGCTGTGGGGGGGGTCTAAGCCCTTACTTCCCCTTCCAGACCTTCTTAGGGAAAAGACTCAGTGCTCTCCCCATTCTCCCTTGGTTTTCCAAACCTTCAGCTTGAATCACTACTCTGCTGGCCCCCATCTTCTCCTGCCATCCTCCTGGAGTGTATGGGAGACTCAGAAACAAAGACAAAGAAAGATGGGTTCATACTAAAAGCTCCAAGCAAACACCAGGCATCCCTACTAGGTCCTCATTTGGCCTCTGCCCTTTCCAGCTGTCTCTGTCTCTCTTTCCTGCCACTTCCCTCATCTCCCCAATCTCAGAAACCTGTCCCCAGTCTACATCTTTTCTAGAAGCTCCTAGAAGCAGCAAGTTATGAAGGGCAGAGCTCACCCCTTGGGAGATGGAGGCACTTGTGAATGAGCTGACTCAGGAAGGACACTGGGACGGAGAGAGGCAGGAACAGACTCAGAGTAGAGACCATGTAGAAAAGGGGGTCAAGATTGAGATTACGGAGCCATGAAGTCCATAGCCTTTGATGAGCAGGCTTCTACCTTCCCTTCCCTACCCCCTACCACCCTATGATGGCTGAAGCTCTTGGGATGTGGGTGTCTGAGAATCTTCTTTGGGAGATTGGGGAGGGGGTGGGAGGGTGGGGAATGCTCTGGAAGCCAGAGATAAGAACCCAGAACTTGGAGTCCGCAGGTGGGTAGCTTGGATTGTGAAGCTGTACTGCACAGGGCTGTAAATGAAGGCAAATAGGGGAGGGGCAAGAAAGATCAAGGCATGCAGCAGTGCACATAACCACTAACATATACCAGTAGGCACAGGACTCAAAAATGCACGAAGACTGGCATGTATACACACAAACGTTACTGGGCACCAACAAGCCAGGCACATGCTTTTCAGATGCCAGCAGATGCCCAGAGGTGGGTGCATTCAAAAGATGCAAAACTGCATAGGTATACAAGCAGTCAGCAGAGATCAGAACCCGCACAGACTCCTCATAGTAGGCAGTCACACAGATTGGAAGAGAAGATCTATTTAAACTGGAAACACCACCAAGCCCATCCACTTTCAATTTGATTAAGTACATAGTTGGTTCCCCCAAGCCTTTGGTCTCGGAAATCTCTGTACACAGCCCAACACACATGTACACACATGTACATGCACACATAGCAGCCAGGGCAAACACACACAAACCCACAGGTATGCAGAGTTTGTCTAGGTGCCTGTCTCCCCTTCTGTATTGCACTTGGACCCTTGTCCCTGTCGTCTGGCCCCATGGCTCCCTCCCTCCCTTCTCCACTCCCTCTGGGATGGCTTCCCTTCCTCCTCTCCAGATGTCTGGGCCTTCTCTCCATTTACCCCCCTCAGGATGACCCCCTTCCCCATCCCACTGCTCCCTGTATCTGAGCTAAGAAGGAGAGACAAGGGAGTGAGGGGACCCAGAGGGGCAGGGGAGGCCCTGGGCAGTTGTGTGTGTGTGTGCTGGGGGGTGAGGCACTGCCTTGTGAGCCTCCTGGCCTCTCCTTCCTCCTTTCTTTGGAAGCGTCACTACCTCCTTGATTTTTTTTTTTTTTCCTTTAGCCTGATCCTCTCACCTGCTCCGGGCTCCTTCATTCCCCTGCTCCCATTCCTTCTCCCTTTCCTCTCTCCTCTCCTCCCCACCACTTTCCCCGAAGAGCTAATGGGCTTTCTTCTGAGAAAGTCAAGCCACTGATGGAAGCGAGAAGCCACTGCTGGCTCTAGAGGGAAAGCACGTGAGTGTGTGCGGGAGGGGGATGTTTGGAATGAGGGTCGGAAACAGGAAGAGATGAGGAGGGGGCTAGGTCTGGCTCTGAGTCCCTGCAGACAGCCCCAGTCCTGGCTTCCAGAGTCTCAGGGCACGGGTGCCCTGCGTGTGTCCATGAGCACCGGGTCCGCAGTTCTTGTGTCTGGCGTGTGTCATTGTCACTCCCCCTTTCCCTGCCCACGCCCCCGCACTGCTCTTGGCCTGCACCGCAGCCCCCTCCATCCTCCCTCCCTTCCCTTCATTCCTGCAGTGGCCGCTCCCCTGGCCACCTTCCCTTCTCCCCCTACCCCCTCCCCATTTCCGCCCCCCGCCCACGCCTGGTCTCCCTTCACCGGACCCGGCTCGCTGATGGATTCTCTCTGCGCAATGTGTGCGTCATCGCCCCCCACTCCTGGAACCTCTAGCTATGCAAGCCCCCAGCCCCAGCCCCTCTTGCAGGAGATACGGTCGGAAGGTTCTGGTGGCAGAGACCGTCTATCTCTGACGTTGCAGCCCCCTCCACGTCGCGTTCAAACCCCTGGAAGCCGGGGAGAGAGCTGGAGTTGAATCACTCCTCCCACCTGCGCAACCCCCTCCCCACCTGGTCTGGTCTCGCCCTCCAAACGTCCTTGGGTGGGGGGAGCGGCGGGAGGGAAAGAAGCTGGAGGAGGGTGGAAGGGGTGGACTGAAAAGGGGCACAGCGGGGGTCCCCCACAAGCACCGCCGACTCAGCTGGACTGAAAGACAGACACACCTTTTTCTCCAGACACGACCCAGAGGCACACACATCCTCTATCTTTCCCCTTCCTCTTCCGACTCGGACCCTTTCCAATGTGACTGACCAAACCGCAAGATCCACCCATCTGCCAGGGCCCTGGGCCGGCGCCCCGCACCGCAGATCCTCGGACCGGCGCCCTCCGTCTCAGGTTCACGCCGTCCTTGGGCGTGGCCCCATGGGCCGCTCAGGATCGGGTTACGAAGCCTAGCCCCCTCCCCAGATTACAAGTCCTTGCCTTCCCCGTGCCAGTATCGATCTCCAACTGGGTCTGTTCAGACGCTAGGGGTGCCCCCTGCCTATTCCGCTCAGCAACGCGAGCTCCGCAGCTGCAAGTTGCTTTGTAACCCACCCTCCCGCCTTCTAGCGCCTCTGCAGCCACCCTTTCATTCATTCTCCCATTCATTCATTCATCCTTTTCTCCTCGTCCCTCCTTCATTCATTCATAGCCCCCTGCCCCCGCCCGCCTCAGCATTTCATTCATTCATTCATTCATTCATTTCCCGGAGCTCCGCTAGCGCACGCCCCTCCAGCCGAGGGCTCCATTGCGCAGGCGCAGACCGGGAAGGGCGCGCATCCTCCAATCGTTGGGCATCCTCCCTCCACCGGGCGCCCGCCCGCTTCCCCATGAATGAACACTGACGTCAATGGGGCGGGGCAAGCCCACGTGACCCCGCGCTCTCCTTTATAAGGCGGCGGAGCCGCGGGCGCTGTCCAGCGTGCTGGAGCCAGAGCTAGCGAGCCGCCTGGAGCTTTGCCGACCCAGCTGAGCCCAGACCACTGGACGCCAGGTCTCGACCGTCGCTCGTGCCCCAGCTACCGCTCGGATCCAAGGCAGACGGGTCCCGATCTTCCCCTGTCCCTATCCTGCTCCGACCCTCCTCTCCACCTCCGGCGTCGTGACACCGGCTGGTAAATACTCCGCTGTCCGTCCCTCAAACCCTTGGCAGCCTTGGGCTTGAGGGAGGGTTCTCTCCCCTCCCAGACGGGGGTGTTGAAAACACAGCGGGGAGCCCCTGGTAAGGGTCCCTGGTAAATGGGGGAGTCGCAGCTTTTCTCTTGCTGATGAAGTCGCCCACGCACCATCCGGGAAGTCCTGTGGGGAGGGAGCAAAGATTTTTTCACTTATCCTTGCTGCTTACTTAGTACGTGGGCGCTGGCAGTGAGATGGCTCAGGGAAGGGGGTGAGGAGGCATCAGGTGAGCGAGGGTTGCGGGGGGTTCTTTTCCCATTTATACGACTCCAGAGATCGGCACATCTTCTTCGTTCTCTCCTAAAGATCCTTCTTCTGGGTAAGGTTAGGGGGACGAGGGAAGCCCCGGGTTTCCTGCTTAAAGATGGGGGAAGGGAACGTAGAATTAGAGAGCAGGGAATTCTTACAGAAATCCCCTTTCTTTGGTTTGTTCTATTTTTCAGTCTTCGGCAGCCCCTTGGTCATGAAATCCCTCAGGTTGCCGGCTTCTCTCTTCTGCTGCCTTCTACTGATCAAGGGGTTAGCAGCAGCGCCCCCGGGGCGCCCTGAGGCACAGCCTCCTCCCCTCGGCTCTGAACATAAAGAGCCAGAGGTAGCTGGGGACGCAGCGCCCGGGCCAAAGGATGACAGCGCCCCAGAAGTCCGAGCTGCTCGAAATTCCGAGCCGCAGGATGAGGGAGAGCTTTTCCAGGGCGTGGATCCCCGGGCGCTGGCCGCGGTACTGCTGCAGGCACTGGACCGCTCGGCCTCGCCCCCGGCTCCGGTCGGCTCCCCTCAGGGTCCAGCGGAAGACGGAGCAGAAGCTCTGCTGACCGAGACCGTGCGCAGCCAGACCCACAGCCTCCCGGCGCCAGAGACCCAGGCGCCCGCCGCCCCGCCTCGCCCCCAGACTCAGGAAAACAGTCCCGAGGCGGGAGACCCGAACCAGGAGCTCGAGGCGCTCGCGTCCCTGCTCCAGGAACTTCGAGATTTCAGTCCGAGCAGCGCCAAGCGCCAGCAAGAGACGGCAGCGGCAGAGACCGAAACTCGCACACACACGCTGACCCGCGTCAATTTGGAGAGCCCCGGGCCCGAGCGCGTGTGGCGCGCATCCTGGGGAGAGTTCCAGGCGCGCGTCCCGGAGCGCGCGCCTCTGCCACCCTCGGCCCCCTCGCAATTCCAAGCGCGTGTGTCTGAGAGCGAGCCCCTTCCCGAAACCCGCCAGTTTGGGGGAGTGTCCGCCCCGAAAACACACCTGGGCGAGGCTCTGGCGCCCTTATCCAAGGCGTACCCAGGCCTGGGAGCCCCCTTCCCCAAGGCGCGCCGGCCGGAGAGCGCGCTGCTGGGCGGCTCTGAGGCGGGCGAACGCTTACTCCAGCAAGGGCTAGCGCAGGTGGAGGCCGGGCGGCGGCAGGCGGAGGCCACGCGGCAGGCGGCCGCGCAGGAGGAGCGGCTGGCCGACCTCGCCTCCGACCTGCTGCTCCAGTATTTGCTGCAGGGCGGAGCCCGGCAGCGCAGCCTCGGGGGTCGGGGGCTGCAGGAGACGCAGGAGGAGCGAGGGGGCGAGCGGGAGGAGGAGGCGGAGCAGGAGAGACGCGGCGGGGAGGAGAGGTTGGGGGACGAGGACGAGGAGGCGGCGGAGGCGGAGGCGGAGGCGGAGGCGGAGGAGGCCGAGAGGGCGCGGCAGAACGCTCTGCTGTTTGCGGAGGAGGAGGAGGAGGACGGGGAAGCCGGAGCCGAAGACAAGCGCTCCCAGGAGGAGACGCCAGGACACCGACGGAAGGAGGCCGAGGGCTCAGAGGAGGGCGGGGAGGAGGAGGATGACGACGAGGAGATGGACCCGCAGACCATTGACAGCCTCATCGAGCTGTCCACCAAACTCCACCTGCCCGCGGACGACGTGGTCAGTATCATCGAAGAGGTGGAGGAGAAGCGGAAGCGGAAGAAGAACGCCCCTCCTGAGCCCGTGCCAGCCCCCAGGGCCGCCCCCGCCCACGTCCGCTCCCCGCAGCCCCCGCCCCCCGCCCCGGCCCCTGCCCGCGACGAGCTGCCGGACTGGAACGAAGTGCTCCCGCCCTGGGATCGGGAGGAGGATGAGGTGTTCGCCCCCGGGCCCTACCACCCTTTTCCCAACTACATTCGGCCGCGGACACTGCAGCCGCCTGCGGCCTCGCGTCGCCGCCACTATCACCACGCCCTGTCGCCTTCGCGCCACTATCCCGACCCTGAGGCCCAGGCACGGCGCGCGCAGGAGGCGGCAGAGGAGGAGGAGCGCCGGCTGCAGGAGCAGGAGGAGCTGGAGAATTACATAGAGCACGTGCTGCTCCGGCGCCCGTGACCCGCCCTGGCCCCGCCTTCGCGCGCCCGCCGCGCGAGACACCTCTCCCCCCTCCGTGTGGCTCCTCCCCCTCTCAGTGTTTGCATGCGCCCGGGTCCCGCCCCTCTGCCACCGCCCGGCCCCGCCCCCGCCGCCTGGTCCCGGGGCTGAGCCGGGACCTGCCAGATCTCTTTTCCGGTCAGAACCCGAACTCTCCAAACTTCCGGGAGACCCGGGGCCAGCCTAGGCGGGCGGGCGGTTTGTGTGAGATCCTTTTCCCCGCGGGGCTCCGTCCTCATCCACGTCTGGGGACGTCCCCGTCTGAAACTGGAAAAAGCAGTTCCAATTGTGTAAAAAAAGTGTCTGTCTCCCGCCCTGCCCTCGGGCTTCCCCACCCTCACAGCGCAGTGAATTTACTCCTCCATTCCTTTCTCTGTTGTAAATACCCCTCACGGAGGAAATAGTTTTGCTAAGAAATAAAAGTGACTATTTTATTAGGACTTTGTTCTCCGTTATTCACCCGTCCCCTTGGGCCTGCGTGGCCCTTCCCAAGGGGCGGTGAGGGAAGCGCCAGCGGCTGTGCCCATCACCTCCGGCTCTTTAACTCCTTACCAAAGCCAAAGTTGAGTGTCAGCCCCCTGAAACCGTATTTAGGGAGAATGTTTTATCTGCTAAGAAGCCCTACATCCCGCCTCCAGCTGGGGGACGGGCGTTAGTCTCCCCCCCAGAACTTGGGAGAGAGGAGTGGAGCCCAGCAAGCTTCTACTTCAAAAGAAAAGGCCACCCCAGCACTTGCTCTGGGCACCGGCACAGCTCCTTTTCCAGGTCCTGGGTGGTTCCGCAGAGCTCCCCTGCCCCTTCACCTACCCACTCCCTTACCAGCTCCCCGAACTCCGTGGTCCTAAATGCTTCACTAGAAATTTGGGGAGAAAGGTTTGGCAGGCACTTGTTTGTAGACAGGGTCTCAATATACAGTTCAGGCTGCCCTCAGACTATGTAGCCAGAGCTGGCCTTGAACTCCTGGCAATCCTGCCTCAGCCTCCCAAGTGCTGGGATTACAGGCCTGTGCCACTACATCCAGCGGGAGCCACCTGTTTTTAGCCACCTCCCAACCTTTTTCTAAGCACAGATATCCCTGAACTCCTGATTCCATGCCCAAATAAAACCAAAGTCTTCAAATGAAATCTTCCAGGAAGAAATTTTAGAGGAAGAGACCCACGTCCCTAGGAGTTGCTCCTGGTGGTAAAGGCAGTGGTTGGAGAGGCATTGCGAAGCAGGGAGTGTGAGGTAAAAGAGTGTGGGATAAGCACAGGACACCCAGGTGAATTTCAATATAGGAGGCATGTTTGTGCTTGCTTCGGCACCACATATACTAAAATAGGAGGAATGTTAGAATAAGTGTGTTCCCCAATACTGCATGGGACACACTTCTAAAAACTCCTTTGCTGTCTGACATTCCAACTTTTCTTTCACTGTTTGGCAACCCCATTTCCAGGAAGAAGCTGATGCCGGTGAGCCCTGGGCCTCCCTGTGGATGCCGGCAGCCTTGCCTTTTTTTCACAGAGCCTCAGGCAAGCCAAGTCCAAGAAACACTTTTTCCTTTTATTTCAGAAGAAAGGAAATGAAGGCCTGCCTCACCCAGAATGAGGGGTGAAGGAGGGACAGGGCCAGTGTTCCAGAAAGCCTGCCCTTCCCCCAACCCTTCCTTCCCTCAAACTGGCAAGGTTAGAAAAAAATTAACTCTTGTTGTTTCTGCCCTGGCACTGGACAGAGGCCACACTGCAGCCAGGGAGGAAGTGGGACCGCTGAGGGGAAAGGCCCCTCCCAGGCAGAGAAGCTGCCCTGGATGGCTAGGGGCAGGGGTGGAGGTAGGTTTTGGGGCAGGGGGCTAAGAGAAGAGCCCTGAAAACCTTTTCCCTTTAACCTGACGTATTTATATATTTACAGTGGTAAGGGAGGGAGGACAGCTGGGGTCACACTGGTTCTTCAAAGGCAGGGAACGAAAGCCAAAGAGCACCCCCAACTTGGTCACGTTTTCCTGCCTCCTGGCTCCTAAAGCCTTCGATGGGGAAGCTGGGGGTGGAGGGAGGGAACGTTTGCAGGGCCAGAGACCATGGCTCCTTCCAAAGAAGGTGAGGTGGCCAAGGAGGGGGATCCAAGTCGGGTCCCACGGAGGGACTTGGGAGAAGCAGCCACCATGCCTTGCCTCGCCCCCAGCTCCACAGGGCCCGGTCAGCGGGGACTACGCCAGGCCCATCTCCTCCAGCACGCTGCGCGGCGACTCATCCTCCTGAGGCAGAGATGGACAAGGGTGACGCAGAGACACCAGGAGAGGCAGACAGGGTGGGCAGGACAACAGCAGTCACGAGGAAGTAAGGAAAGGAGTCGGAGGGGTAAGCAGACATGGGGTGGGGGACAGAAACCAACATGAGTCCCAAAGTCTCCGAATACCACTCCAGTACCCAGGGGGCCAATGAGGGTCTATGACCACCATCCAGAGAACCCAAAGCCAGAAGCTGGGGCGATAGGGGGCTCAGGCCCAGGAGCTGAGGATAAAGGCAGCGAAGCTGGGACTTGGAGACAAGAAACTTGCTTTTGGGTGGCTGGGGGTGCAGATGGTTGGGTCTTGAATTTCAGGTAAGCAGGAGGCACTAAGAGGTTGGCACCAGGTCCCTGAGGGAAAAGGGAACCAGACTGCAGAGAGATGAGTCATTAGGGTCTGAGCAGAGCACTGGTAACCAGGGTGGTGTGAGCCAGGGTGTGTGTGCGTGTGTGTGCGTGTGTGCGTGTGTGTGTCAGACTGAGAAAGGGGACAACGGACCATCGTGGTGCAAGTTCAGGCCTGCCCCTTCTCCTCCTGCAGGCTTGAGCCCCGATTCCCCAGCCCGCCCCTCTCTCCCCCTCCTCAGAGCCAGCTCAGCCTGGCTTGCTCATCACTGTCACTGCAGATTCCGGTGACTCATCTCCCTGCACCAAGGCTCACAGCGACACAGCAGAGAGAGGGCAAGCAGGAGTGGGGGAGGGTGGGGCGCTGGATCACAGGGAGAACCAATGCCAGGTGTCCTCACCCTGGCCCCCAATCCCCATAGCCTTTTGCTCCTGGGAAGTACAGGCTTTTGAGAGTGTGTGGTAAAAAGTGGAGAAGTTGGGGAAGGAAAGTCTGATCTACCATGTGGCCCTTCTTCAATTTTCTCTGTAACACTTTAGGCCAAGAGAAGCATTAAGGAATCCAAAGAGATTTGGCAGGGACAAGATGGCTTGGGACTTGGGAGGAGGACAGAGCTTGGAGTGAGGGGACAATTGCCACAGGTGGCCGATGGGCCCTGCTACTTCCCACTCCACGGGGTCAGGGCTTGAGGGAAAGCTGGACATGATGGGGGCCAGACGCCACAGGGAGGGGGACACCCTCAGCGGCCGGCAGGATGACCAGGAGAGGGAGGGTCCCTTCAGCCTCAGAACTCTTCCTCCTCCTCACCGTCCCTGGCTCATACCTCCTGCAGCAGGTCGGCCTGCTCAATAGCCTTCAGCACACTCTTCTTAGAGGTGTCCTGGACGTCCCCGCCCATTAAAAACTCATCGAGGATGAAGTAGGCCTTCTCGAAGTTGAAGATGATGTCCAGCTCACACACCTGTGAGGAGAAGGGAGAACTGAGCATTGGGATGCACCCCAGCCCCTCATTTTCCCCATGACCACTCCTCCCACTTCAGGTTCCTATTGAGTCTCATGTCCTCCCTATCTCTAAACCTTAGTGCTTGGGTTGACTATTTCTTACCTTCCTCTTGCCCCTTGTTCCCTGAACATGTAATATTAGTCACCTTTATCTACCCTTGTCTGGGGGTTTTGTTATCATCCTCCTAAAATGTGATTTTGTTCCCATGGAGGCTGGGCTAGGCTCCCTCCCCAGGCCCTGGGGCAGGGTAGAGATCTGATCACTGTGTCCCAAGCAAGGTTCTGCCAATACCCAGGTAGCAGTAGACATCACAGAATGTCTCTGAGCCTGTTTTCTCATCTGAAAATGGATATACCAACACCTATTTACAGGATGGAATAAGGAGCAAACAAGAAAGCCTGAAAGGGCCTTGGGTAAATCCTTAAGTAGGATACAAATTATGGAGTCATCAGTATTCTCCATCTAAAATCTGAGCTTTCTGCCTAAACCCAGGCCCGGGGCTATAACCCAGATAAGTTATCTTTTTCTTTTTTTTTTTTTTTGAGACAGGGTCTTGTTCTGTAGTCCAGGCTGGCCTTTAACTTGCAGGTTTCCTATTTCCCCAGGATGGGCTCCAACTCATGATCCTCCTGCCTCAGCCTCCCAGAGTGCTAGGACTACAGGTATGTGATACCATGCCCCATTTTCCAGGCATTATTCTTTTAAAAAACTCTCCAAAGAGTCCAACAAAAAACCAAGGTCAGGAACCACTGACCAAACCTAAATCTGGTCTCCATCCTCATTTGAGTAGTCTGAGCTGAGCTCTACTGGAGATTAAGTACCAGAATCTGCCCTTTCTCCCACCACCTCCAGGGCCGATTAAAGGAGGGCTAATAGGATTAGAGCTTAATAAGGGAGATTAATTACTGTTCTCACTGCTCCAACTTCATCTCTCCCTACTCCCAGGGGAGAGACTGGATGGGCCTTAAAGTTTAGTAGAAAAAGGAGACTGCTGGGTACAGGGTGAGTGGGGAGACTTACGCTGCCAAAGTATTTGTCCAGGAGCTCCACATATCGGTGGATCAGCTCTAAGGTGATGAGCTCGTTGTCTTGGCCCTCGATGGCACAGCAGAAGTAGAGGCTGGCATATCTGAGGAGGGGGCACAGGAAACATACCTAGGACCTAATCCCACAGACCCAGGCATTCTGGGCTCAAACCTCCTCAGACCCAGGTCTGTAATCTGGTGGGACTCAAGGAGGGAGGCCCCAGGGTATGCAAAGAGTACCATACTCCCTTCTTAGTGCTCTCTCCTAAACAAGCGAAGATGCATGCTCCTTCCCTCTTGCCCTCTGACCTGTTCAGTTTGACTCAGCAAAAACCTGAGCCAAACAATTCACCTGTTCAGAGGAGAAGGAACTGGAAAGAAGTTGTGTGGGTGTGGGTGTGTGCTGAGAAAAGTGGCGCAGGGCCTCTGATTGTGAATAAGTCTGCAAGGGACATGGTCAGAAGGCAAGACAGGGCCTTTAGGGACAGTCGTATGTGTGTGATGCAAGTGTCAGGCTTGAGCAAAATCAAGTGGGGAACAAGAATTTCTTCCTGGGGAGTTGGGAAAGTAAAGAAAGGTGGCATTCATCACTGTCCTGCACATGTCCTTACCTCTTAGCTCTTCCTGACCTAGGAGACACTTCTTTTCTCAGCCCTTTTAACCCTCTGCTGAACTCCAGCCCCAGCAGGACCCAAGCAGGTCTGAAAGTAGGTGGGGAGTCACCTCTTATAAACAACTTTGAGGTCTCTCCACTCCAGGAAGCTGCACATCTTGGGCTTGCGAGCCAGAACGACCTGCATAAGCTCCCGAACCATCTTCTTTCTCTCCTTGTCTGATGTGGCCAGGTACCATTTTTGCAGCCGCAGCTTTCCCTGCCGGCTGAACAGCAGCATGAATCGCATCTGGAGGGGTAGGAGGACCAGAGCCGAGGGTCACAGATTTGGTTCTTTCCTCCACAGTGCATAGCTCCAAACTCAGCCCTGGCCCTCTCTACTCACAGTTCCTACTTCCTTCAAAACATCCAGCCCCTTCCTGTCAACTCTGGGTGCTCCCACCAAGAGGTACCTTTCCTTTGGAGAAGCAAGAGTTTCTGTGCATCATTTGGGTTCAAATCCCGGATCTATTAGTAGGTGTGGCCTTGGGCAAACTACACCTCTGGAGCTGTTTCCTTTTTCTTTTTTTGGTACCGGAGATCGAACTCAGGACCCTGTGCTTTTGAGGCAGGCAGCAGAACCACTGAGCTAAATCCCCAGTCCATCTTTCCTTATCCGTAAATGGAGTTGATAAAAGCACCTTCCTTATGGAGTTGTCAAAGGGATCAAATGAGGTCACATTTGCAGGAATGGCTGGAATATAGTAGCTTCTATAGCATGTTTGGTATTATTATTTTTCCCTGACCTCCTCTTTCCTGCTTTCAAAAGGAAGTAAAATGCTTGGCACAGTGACAAGCAGCACACAGCTGATGTCAGAGATGCTTATTCTCTTTCATGTTCTTTCTATCCATCTCCATATTGGAACTGGGTGTTTTGTGTCACGCCACCATCCTGGCCACAAGCCGTCAATGATGTCCCTAACACACTGCCTCCAGTGCCCACCTTTTGCCCAGGAGTATCCTTCTCTGCAGATGCATGCATATCCAGTACGCTTGGTGTTGGGATGCTCAAATTCCACCCTCCTCTTTCCTCAGCCATCTTGGCATTTGGTCCCTGTAACCTTCTCTTAACTTCTCTTCCTTTTAGGGTTCCTTTTACTACAACCCACTCCTCCCCAGACACCAGGTGGCCAATCTCCCTTTCAGGCCCTCCCACAGGACAAGAGCACCCAGGGGGCCTGCCCTAGGGAATGTCTGTGGAACAAGAAGCAAGCTGGGTGTAGTGAGATGGGGTGCAAAGCTCTTACTAACCCCATGCACCCCAGCTTCCCAGTTCCAGGGGAGCCTGGTGCCACATCCTGGACCCATCTCCTCCCAGCAGCTCTCCTTTCCCTAGACATCACCAGGGCTGGCATCCCTGGGTGTGTACAACGGTACCAGATCAGTAAGTTAAAAATCAGAATTCAGGAGAACTGGTTTTTTTGGTGGAGGGACATGAGGTGCACCGAGACTAGGGAGCACAGTGCAGCTAAGATAAGGGGGTGGGGAGCTAGCAGGAAGGCGGAAGGCAGGGTTCCGGAAAGAATGAGATGAGAGGCGGAGATCATGGAGCAAGGGAGCCGGGGATCCCAAATCCTGGGACCCCGAGAGCAAACCCTCGAGCCTTCTCCGACTCCCCACCTAAACCCAGACTCTGGAGGAACGTGGCTGGGAACGGAGCAGGACGTTCACTCCCAGACCCATAAACTATCCCACACCCCGACCCCACAGGCCCCGCTGCTCTGGGCCTCGCAGGGAGAGGGCTGGGTGACCCGCGACCCCACTGCCTTCCTCTGCCCAGAGACCCCACGCACCTCTCCGTGGGCGGCTACTGTGCGGGGTCCCCTGGGCCGAGAGGTTGGGGTCCCTTGGGCTGGGACCCAGGCACCTCTCCCGGCTCGGGACGGTCCCGGCGCCCTCTGGTCGGTCCCCTCTCGCCCCACAAACGCGCCCCTCCCCCCTCCCGAGTGCCATTTCAGTTCTTCCTCCGAGGCCGGTTCGCCTACCGGCTCAGGGGAGAGGGGCCTTGGAGGACCAGAGGGAAGAAAGAGCGGCACCCACCGAGGGCGGCCCCCAAGGATCCCCGCAGGTGCAGCCTATGCCCCTCGGTTCCCCCTCCCCTCCCTCTTCCCACTCCCTACCATCCTGCAGCCTCCGGCTCGGCGCGTCCCTCTTCGGCCACCGTAGACAACAGCTCCACTCCCTTTCTTATCCTTTTTTCTTCCCTCCCTCCGGTTGAAGCCCCGCCCCGTCCCGCCCTGGCTGGGAGACCCAACGCACAGCGAGCTGCGCAGACGCCAATGCTGGGTGCGCGGGCGGGGCTAGAGGAGGAGAAGCGGAAGCCATGGCAACCAGGTCCTTGACTTCAGCTTCCAAAAGCTCGGTCGTCATGGTAACAAGGCTGTCGTGTGAGTTGGTTGGAGGATGGGGGAAAATGGACAATGAGGTCCTCGAGCTTTAGAGCCTTGGGGGGAAAAGGCGGGAAAAGGGGTGAGATGCATGGGACGATTGTAGGGAGTTTTTGAGGAAGCAGGGAAGACTAAGGGAAGGGGACAGTTAAAAGGGACCAGGTAAGAATTAGATGTAGGAAAAAAAAGAATTAGATGTAGGAGAGGAGAAATGATGTGGAAAATAGGAAGACAAAGGGTAGAAATGGGGCAACATGAAAAAAGTATAGAGCCTAAGTAGTTATTGAGGACCTACTAGACGAAACATGCTTAAATAAGGGAAAAGTGCAGAAAAAAAAGAGGGACGAGAAATAAATGAGGGGCTGGTATAAAGGGATATAAGGAAAGGGGGAGAATTGTGAATTAAGGTGAAAGAGGGAGAAATAGAGAGAATTTTGAAAGGTTAGCAAGGGTCAAAACTGAAAAGGGACAGATGGAAACTAGACCTAAGGGCAAAGATGCAGAGCATGTAAATAGTGATATGAGCTCTTAGCTAAGTGCGTGCATGCAAGTGTGTGTGTCTATTTAGTAAAGACATAGATTTAAGAGAAAAATCTTACATTTAGTTATGCTGAAAAACCATAGTCCTTGTCCTCCAGGGATTAGGTGCCAAACCCCCATGGACTGTTGAAACTCCATACATTGCCAAACTCTATATGTTCTACGTTTTTCCCTACATATACATACATGTCTATGATCAAGTTTAATTTATAAAGTAGGTACAGTAAGAGATTAGCAACAATAACTAACAATAAAATAGAACAATTATAATATGCTGTAGCTGTGCATGGTGGTGCACATCTGTAATCCCAGCACTCGGAGGCTGAAGCAGGAGGATTGCTGTGAGTTCAAGGCCAGCCTGAACTATACTTGAACACAAGCATTTCAGTACTGCCAGTCAGTCAACCTAATGGAGATGGCTACTGAGTGACTAAGTGTAAGTGTGTGCTGTGTGGGTACGCTGGAGAAAATGGGGTGATTTGAGACTGGTCGAGATTACATCCAAATGCTATGCAATTTTAAATTTATAGACTATCGCTGGGGATTTAGCTCAGTGGTTCTGCCACCTGCCTTGCAAGCGCAAGGTCCCGAGTTCAATCTCTGGTTCCAAAATACTAAAAAATAAAAAGGTAAATTTATAGATTATTTCTGGAATTTTTCATTTAGTATTTTCAGACTGCAGTTGACTTCGGGGAACTGAAACCACAAAGTGAAACTGGATAAGGGGACTGCTGTGTCTATTTCTAGATAATTATTAGCAACAATTGGTGTTACTATTTTGAAGCACTTGTTGGTAAAGTCTTGTTGTCTTCACTTTTTTTTTTGGTGGTTCTGAGGATTGAGCATTGAACTCAAGGCCTTTGCACTGAACTACATCCCCAGCCCTTTTTTTTTTTTTTTTTTTTTTTTTTTTTTTACAAATTTTAATATTTTGAGACAGGGCCTCACTATGTCACTAAGCCTAGGCTGGGCTTGAATTTACTATCCTCCTGCCTCAGCCTCCAGAGTGTGTGAGCCACCACATCCAGTTTTTTCTTGTTCTTTGATATGGAGATAGTTTGTGCTGATGGCAAGAGGGTTCCCCTGGGGCACAATCTTGTCTCGAACCCTTATTAAGCCTCAGGTGAGTCACTGAACCCTCCATCTACCTCATTTAAAAAGTGAAAGCAAAGTAGGTATCTTGCAACATGGTTCCAAGGATTAGAAGTAGTGTATAGAGACTCTTGTGCACTGGAAATGCTTGATAATGCTAGCTATTGTTTTCCTTTTTCAACTCATTTCTTCTTTTTTCTTTTTCTTTTCATCTCAGTCTATACCTCTGCTTGCTAGTGACAAAGTCTAAAGTGTATGGTATATACATACACCTTCCCAATGGCATAGCTGGCTGAATTATTTTGATATTATTCATTAGGTGAAAAATAAGATCCATAAAGTAAGTCCCTTGAGCTAGAAGGGGCAAACCATTAGAGTGAAAAGAAGGAATATACAGTGGTACACACCTGTAATCCCAGCACTTGGGAGGCTGAGGCTGGAGGATCACTGAGTTCAAGGCCAGCCTGGGGTACATAGTGAGTGTAAGGCCAGGCTAAAGTACAGTACATAACAAGACCCTGTCTCAAAAATAAACACAAAACAACAAAAAAGAAGGAATACAATTCTAGCATGCAGAACAGCTGAAGCAGGTAGGGATTTAGCTCCATGTGAAGGCCCTGGGTTCAATCCCCAGAGAGGAGGAAAAAAAAAGAAGTGGAAAAGGCAAAAGAAATTAATAAATTTAAAGAAACGTGTCCATGGGAGAGAGGAAAAGGCTGTGTATAAGGAAGTAATGATCAATGAGGTAAAGACACAGAGAGAGGTAGGCAGCAGGCTGCCAAAAGTCTGGAAGCTGCAGAGATGTGAACTCCTACACTCCTTGGAAAGCTGACGCTTTCTAGAATTTCTCTTCTCAATGTGATGTGTCTAACTGCAGAAAGAATAACATGCATGAGAAATTGTTAGAAGTACTGATTTTGCTCATGTGGAATAACAGAATTCTAGGGGCCAGGGCTAGTTAGAAAACAGCGCACTGAATTTCTTCATTGTTAGTGAAGAATGTAGCAGGCATAGTGGTGCATGCCTGTAATCCCAGCACTCAGGAGGCTGAGGCAGGAGGATCACCGCAAGTTTGAGGCCAGCCTGGGCTACATAGTGAGTTCAAAGCCAGCCTGGACTTCATAGTGTGTTCAAGGTCAGCCTGGGCTAGATAGTGAGACCCTGTCTCAAAAACAAAAACAAAACACCCCAAGATAACATCTCATGGCTATGTCTTCCAGAGAGAATGGACACTGTGTCTTTACTTGGTAGAAGAGACCAAGGGTTGGGGGGACTGCCCCCATCAAGCCCTTTGATAAGGTCACCTAATCCCATTTGTGGGGACTGCTTAATCATCTCCTCAAGGGCATGCCCCTTAATACTGTTGTATAAGGAATTAAATTTCAACATGATTTTTGTGCCGGGGCGGGGTGGGGCTGGTGAGACAAGACCTCACTGGGTAGTTCAGGCTGGTCTTGAACTTGTGGTGATCCTCCTGCCTTGGCCTCCTGAGTGCAAGGTTTACAGGTGTGTGCTACCACACTGGGCTCAACATTGAAAGAGGGGAAGCCATCTTCAAACCATTGCAGTATTCATAATTCCCTGATGATGTCATTTGCAGGTTTTTTTTAAAAAACCTGTTTTTACTGAGAAATCATATGAGACCTTATCAGATGCTGCTCCTTGCAGCCCTGAACATTTGAATACTCCCTGTGGTCAACACTTGTCATTCTTTTTTACCTCCCAGACTCTCAACTCCCTTCTTAGAGTTTGGGGCCTCCCCATCTCAAGGCTAGAGGGACACAGGCCACCTTTCTCGGGTGGTGTTTGAGATCTCCAGGTACTGCTCACTTTGCAGCCCCTTAGTGGGTGTGCCGCTGGGCACTGGTTGTCTGTGCCCAGCAGGGGGTTGGGTAGAGGCACAGGTGGGATCTGGGGCTTGGTTCCTAGGGTGAGAGTTGGATCTGTGGGTGGCCTGGCCACAATTTCCTTCTGGGCTCCAGTCAGCCAAGTTGGTTTCTGTTGCCTGGTAAACTTCCTCATCATGCTGTCTCATCCTCTGTGAGTCAGCCACTTCTTTTCAGCTGGGTCGCAAGCTCCTTGTGCTATGCTGTCATGTACATCTTTCCTTTCTTTCCATCACCCAGCACAGCATTTATTGATCAGCTTCAGTTCTGATCTGTATGGGTGATTATTGTTAGGGTTTGAGTGTCCTCCGCCCCTGCCAAAACTCATATATTGGAACATTTTTTTGTTTTGTTTTTTGAGACAGGATCTTGCTATATAGTTCAGGCTGGACTTGAACTCACCATGTAGCCCAGGGTGGCCTTGGACTCTGGTGATCCTCCTGCCTCAGCCTCCCAAGGGCTGGGGTGTTGAAACTTTAATTCCTCAATGTGACAGCTGTGGGAGGTGGAGCCCTTAAAGCATGCTTAGGTTAGTAAACAGGGTAAATGCCTTTCTCACTCTTGTGGGACTGGATTAGATACGCAGAGAGTGAGTTATAAATCGGTTCTACCCTTCCTGTTTTCTCTCTTCCACACATGTGCATTTCTACTTTCCTCCCCTGAGCAGAAGCAGCATGAGGCCCTCAAGAAGCCATGCAGCTGCCAGTGCCATCTTCCTGAACTTTCTGGCTCCTAGAACCATGAACCCAAATTCTCTATTACTACCCCCTATTGCCAATCCCCAGGTACTGGGGATTGAACCCGGTGCCTTCACCCTGAGCTACACCCCAGCCCCTTTTCATTTATTTACTTAAAAAAGAAAAAAAGACAGAATCTTGCTAAGCTGCTAAATTCTCAGACTGGGCTGGAATTTGTAATCCTCCTGCCTCAGACTCTCAAATGCTAAACCTCTGTTCTTTATAAATTACCTAAGCCTAGTTGCTCAGTTATATAGTAACAGGCAACAGACTACAACGGTTATCAAATCTAGATATTTAAATCTTACTTCTTACCCCAAATATGCTAAATTCTAATTTTGTGTTTCATAAGGTGCACTTCATGTCTACTATTCCTGCTAGATGAGAAACTGTCTTTTGCTGTTTCCGCTCTACTTAGCACCAGGCCTGACTTATAGCAGGCACCTGATGTTTGTTGACTAACTGTATACTGGATTCTCGAAAATTCTCCATTGCCATCTTTGCCTGCCGGAAATGACTTGCCACCTCCTTCTGCCTGCCTGGGAACCAGCCCATGTCTTGGTTTCCTGTTGGTCAGCGTCACTGCCAGTCCCTAGGCTGGCAGATTATAAGCCTAGGGTCCATGCATGGAAGCTTGGCTTATTCAATGGACATGTGTGAGAC